ACTCCGTCCGCGTGCTATTGAAAAAAAAAACAAAAGTGTTCATGAAAAAAAACTCTCTTCAAACAAACGCCTATGTGTTCTTCCAGACTATCGGTTAAGCCGTTTAGGCTACAAAGTCTAACAAACATCCATCTATCCATCCATCCATCCATCCATCCATCCATCCATCCATCCATCCATCCATCCATCCATCCATCCATCTAAACTTTCACAATTATAATATTAGTAAGATTAGTAAGATTAAAAGCTGAGTTCGTATAATACCTACAAAACTACACAGGACTATAACTAATAATGTGGTTCACTGCCAAATTCCTCGATTGTACCACATTCGTGCACGGTGACACTTCACGCATTTAAATTTCCACTGCGATATCACCTTGCGTACAGTCCGCAGATTAACAAAGATAAATAAAATAAATTGAGAGCCAAGTTTCTTCTGCTGTCCTGGTACACTTGTCTAAGTTTTTTCATGCTTCCTTCAATATTTATTAATTTATTAGCTTTAAGCCGCGACTTTGTCGGTGTTGAATAAAAAAAAAGCAAGCAGCCAATCTGTTCTTCCAGACCAGACTATCCTCTATATTTATGTCAAATTTCGTCGTGATCCGTTCAGCAGTTTAGGCTACAAACTGTAACAAACATCTATCTAAACTCGCATTTATTAGATTAGTAAGATTTATTAACAAATGTACTAGTTACTATGTACATTAGCAGACAAAAACATCCGTAATAATAACAAAATTTACGATAGTTTTTTGTTTATGCTATCGATAGGTGAGGGTTTTTTTCTGCAGGAATGCATGTGTAATGGAGGCTTGTCAACTGTTATTTACGGTCTCGATATACATCTCTGGCCAGTCGACTTTGTCACCTGCTTAGTACGACCATTTGGCATTTGATATGATGATCTAAATATTGTACCGGTGTGTAGACAAATAATAAGACTTGTTAGGCATACAGTGTACAAAACTACATCAAATGTTCTGCAAAAGCACTTAGCGACCTTCTCTTTTTAACCAATAAAAACATAAACATAGGCAATGCTTATAAGTAATGAGTATATTAGAGGAAGTTTGAGAGTAGCTCCAGTGGTAGAGAAGGTAAGAAGTAAAAGGTTAGCGTGGTTTGGGCATGTTATGAGGAGGGATGAATCGCATGTTACAAGGAGAACGTTAGTTATGAGTGTGATACACCGGTAGAGGTAGACCTAGAAAGAGATGGATTGCGTGAAAGGTAACATGATGAAGGGAGTGATGACTGTGATGACGTATGATAGAGTTATTTGGAGGACAAAAACCTGTTGCGCCACTACGGGAGTAGGATAAGGAGAAAGTTGGACATATGGATATATGGACAAAAATTTATTTTAAAACTAGCTTTTATCCTCCACTCCGTCTACGCGTTAAAAATGTAACTTATATAGTAGCCTAAATATTTTTTGGAATTTCGGACCTTGCTCTACATTGTGTCAATTTTCATCGAGATGTGTTCATCCATTAATTTAAGCAGATGCACTCTATCTTTTTGCAAACACAATAAATCACTGAAATGATCTAAATTCTAAATAATACAATAGCCACACGTGGCCAGTTCACACAAGCCGTGTCGTGAGTGCGGCCCATTAGTGTGGGCCGGATCTAATGCGTGCATTATCTCACATCTACGGATGCTGGGAGAGCGGTGGCTGTCCGTACATAGTTCTTATAGATTAAATATTATCGCCTTATAACATGCTAGAAGATAAGTAGTGAAAGAAAGCTTGTTAGTTTATTATTTGGATTTTGTTGTTTGGTATTTTAGTTACCATATTGACGTATGAATCTTATACATACTTGCATGTGGCTGAGATGCATATGTTAAGATGGATGTGTGGTGTGACAAGATTGTATAAAGTTAAGAATGTGTACATTAGAGGAAGTTTGAAAGTAGCGCCAGTGGTGGAGAAATTGAGAAGCAACAGGTTAGCGTGGTATGGACATGTTATGCGACGAAACGATGGGGACGTAAACCAGAAAGTGTTAAGATTGAATGTGGATGGCTACAAAGGAAGAGGAAGACCGAAGAAAGTATGGATGGATTGTGTGAAAGAGGATATGCTTAAGAAAGGAGTGGATTCAGATATGACGGCTAAAAGAGATGTATGGAAGAGCAGCACATACTGTGCTGACCCTCCATAAGGGATAAGGGCAAGTGGATGATGAATCTTATACAAACTATAAAGTGCGGGCGCATCCCTTTGACTGAATTATCGCAAAAATGTTGTGCGATTGTCGATTGTTTCGCAGCCAATTCAACTGTTTAGTTGCACAACTAAAAATCGAGTAGTGTGAGCACCATATAAGGTCATAGGAATCAAAGCGAGACTAAACAGTTGTGCGATAGTTTAGTTTGTTGTTAGTTTAGTTTGACGCTCTAAAATCTAATAAGAGACGTATTTATTCCTTCTTTGATGTATTCAAATATATCGCAAACACAAACAAAAGCTACAAACATTTTGTGTTATACAAAAAGACCAACCGACACCAAATGAAAATCATAATACACAATAAAGTATAGAAAAGACCCCTCGATGCCCGCGGGGGTTGTCCTCTTCAATTGTATAGCAATTTGTCAACGACCCCAGTATGAGGGGTTCATACAACCCCTATCTCGTATTTGTGCTTAATCACATGATTATTTTATTATCAACACTAATGTGACGTATTAAATATTATTCAAATACAATAGAACCTCGATAACTCAAACCTCGGTAATTTAAAAACCTCTATAACTTCAAAAACTAATATGTTCCCTTCCCATCAGAGCCCAAAACCTCTACAACATAGATTAATAACTTAAAACCTCTATAACTTAAAATACTTTGTAATTATAACTATATTATGTATTAACAACTACATAATTCGTCGTATTCAGCGACACGTTGCTCGTTTGTTTTCATTCGTTTGTAACATTTCATTAATTCGAACTTCTATATTATATCTTTTATTTTATCAATACCTTTTTAAAGTAATAAAATAAAGCATTCGGAAAAACCTCTCACGAGTTCATGTTGTGAATTTTCGAATAATATTTATTGGTCAAAGGAAGCGTTATCTTTTTTTTTAGAAACACATTCAAGATGTTTATTTACACAACAAAAACCCTAAAATGTAATTTTGTCACACTTGTTATACCCCACTATCAAACCCCGCGAGCCAACCCTCTTACATCCCTCAGTCTGGTTGCATTATTCCGCTATTATCCACTGCGATCAAACACAAAGAATACGAGAGTTTTAATGATACTTCACAAAGAATACGTACTTACATAAGTGTTAAGTTGAGTGCGCACTCAGAATCAATGAATCTTAAACAATCGTAAAGTGACGATTTTCTATTCAAATTCAATACCTACTCAGATAACCTCAGTGATTTTTAAATTATGATTTTAACTCCATAAATCTTACTAATTATTTAGTACAAAAATCTATTTATCACATAAGAATAAAAACATCCTTTATTAGTGACTAGAATATAATGCAACTAGCTTTCGCCTGCGACTCCGTGCGCGTAGAATTAAAAAAACAAAAGTGAGTAGCCTACGTGCTCTTCCAAACTATCCTCTACATCTATACCAAATTTCATCAAATTCCGTTCAGCCGTTTTGGCTACAAACTCTAACAAACATCCATCCATCTAAACTTTCGCATTTATAATATTAGTATGATTAACTATTACTAATAACGGTCCTGAAAGAATTAGCAATTAATCAGAATTATAATTTGTAACAACACACCAAACACAATACGTGCTTTATCAAACCTGCACACAACACAGACATAGCACAAATCACAGACCCCTCACAACCCGCCCCCATCAGGTAATCAATCTGTGTGCTAATTTCCACCCTATTCAATGTTTTCAAGGGTGTGTGGGAGATTCGCACGTGTTATTTTTTTTATAAACATCTAATGCATTTGTAATTTAATAAATATTCCACGATATAAGACAGATAACAATTATAATGACGTAATTTATAAAAAAAGACGTTTAATTCTTAACTAATATTATGAAAAGGAAAGATTTGTATTTTTGTATGTATTGAAATAACTCAATAGTTACTGGACCGTATTCAAAAATTCTTACACCATTAAAAAGCTACATTACCAGTGAGTAACATAGGGTATATTATTATTTAAATTCACGCGGGCGAAGTCGATAGCAATAGCTAGTTTAAAAAAATTATTTAGCAAGAACTGTGGTGATTAATAATTCCAACACGTTCTGTTGGAAAATTAGATACAAAATTTCTAATGTATTTGGAACCTAGAGATTTATTTTTAGTCTAAAAAGAATGTCTAGTAATCAAAGAATAGCTAAAAACAGACAAGTAAACGTGTTTTAACGTGATCGTTTTATAAAGCTTATAAATAATGAAAGCTCTAACGAAGTTTTTACGACATAGAACTTTACTGCGCTGTGTCGCCGAGCTTACGATGTTCGTTTTAATTCGTCTCGGCTTTTAATAAAAATGTTTAGTTAATTTGCTCTCTTGTTCCATACTTTACGAGATACCATGATTTTAAACTAACTTTATGACTTGTAACTTAATCTTTACATAGAAATAAAATGTATGCGTTAAGATTAAGCGAATTTATAGTCGTCCGCAACTTCTTCAGTACAATATTTAAAAAATAAAACCAGCCTATAATAATCCCGCGGGGAAAAGATACCTTCCTATCAAAGACCCGTCCAAATCTGTACAGCCGATACCGCGATTGCCCGGAATTAACACGGCTTTGCGTACAGACTTATCGCTACATAAAGACAATCCAATTTTACTATATGTTCATATAGATCTATTTACTAGTAAAGGAAACATTTATTTATTCTGTACATGAATAGATAATATAGTTTTTACATAGTAGCATATCTCGTGTTTAATTTTTGCAAAAATTGTTTGTCTTGAATACTTGAAGTTATTATGATATCTATATTTGTGTTGTTTTTGTGTTTTAGGTGCTGAAATACTGCGAGCATCTGCACGGGAAATGGTACTTCAGCGAGGTGCGCGCCATCTTCTCCCGACGCTATCTGCTGCAGAGCGTCGCCATCGAGATATTCCTCGCTAGCAGGAGTAAATATACTGATAGCTTATTATTGCTCATATTTTCTGTTGAATAGACGACTATTATACATTCCGAATAGACGGATGTAGTGATAAGATGCCTTGTCTATTATATCATTTACAGAAACTTGTATCTTAATTATCTAATGTTAAGTGTGTTCGAGCAAAATAAAAAAAAGTATTAAAATCAATGTTTAGTGTTAGATATAGTACTGACTATAGACTAAATCTATTTTTATTTTTAATCCCCCGAAAAGTTAGACGTTTAATTAGTATAAGCATGTATGGAGGTGCGCACATTACACCGATTTTGTTTTTAATTTTTGTCTACACAGTTCGACCTGATTGTATATTCGCCGATTATGTCAGTAGTGTGTAAGGTACAAAATAGTATCGTAGTCTCGTGACTATAGTGTGCATTTTTAATTTCCAGCGTCTATCTTCTTCGCGTTCCCCGATCAGGCGACTGTCAAGAAAGTGATCAAAGCCTTGCCCAGAGTGGGCGTGGGCATCAAATACGGCATCCCGCAGACTAGGTAAGTACTCGATGAATATTTTACTGCTTTCAAATATTTGTAAATACGCGCGCTCTGAATACGATTGGGTTCAATTCTGAAATAACGCCATCTATGTTTTTAAATATGAACTGAGATAAACTGACATTTTAACTTTATTTCGTATTCCGACTGATAGATGGCGCTTTCAAAAATTAAATAGAACGCTAACATTTTTAAAATATTCAGCCACAAAATAAGTTAGAAAGTATAGAAGATAGAACACAAAATTTTTATTGTAAAATGCTTACTAAAGAAATTGATATTGTATCAACCTTCAAAATTAATTGAAGGCCGCGTTGAGAAATTATGCGTTACTAACTTACAAAGCATTTTTTTTATAAATAGCTAATTTAATATAATTGTTAATAAATAAATCAACATACCAATTATACTTACGGTTTGTCTCAAAGGAAATAGTTAAATAGTGTAATAACAACGCGAAACAAAACCAATTATGTATCCTCTTCGTTCCTTACAACAGTAAAAGCAGCAAAAACGATAGTTTCATTTTGTAAACAATTATTAAAACGTTCTTAATTATAATTATATATTCATTAATTAATGTATAATTTATCTATTTTAACAACGTAAACAGATTTTATTGGATTTTAATCAATTTTTCCACAACAATAGGAACTTAAATTTGTTTACGGAAATCTTTGTTTTTTGTTTGATAAAAAAAATAAAAGACGGTTTCCATGATTAGCTTGTTTCAATTGGTTTCTCATTTAAGTAAATTTGTGTAAAGTAAAAGTAAATTTTAGCCTTAAAATGCTTGGAGCATTCTAATGAATGTGACAGTGTTTTGATCTCATTTGAAATTGTTAATGTAATAAAAATTTTTAAAAGGATTTTTTTTTAATTCACCAGATAAAATGAAAGAAGATTAGGTTATTTAAGAAAATAAAACGATTAATGAAATTTAATTGCTCTAAATATTATTATTTAAGTATGATAAGGCAAATAAAACAAACGTAAAAAACATCACACGATTTAATTTCACACAAAAATTAAAACTATTTATATTCATCTTCATCACAGTAATTAATTAAATATTTATCTTAATTATACTAAGTAATGTTAAATTAAAATTATTTTGTAAGTCATCGCGGTTTAAACATTTGTACCTAAAATTATAATAATTCGGTAACATCACCTTGTATACTAATTACTAACGGAATGTTTACAACATAAACATAATCACTCGAAATTTTATAATACTGATCACAAACAATTATAATATAAACAACTGTACAACTTAAAACTATAAGTAAACTAAAAAAATGCCAAAGCACTTTCATATTAAAACAACAAAGTCTAAAGTTGCATGAAAATTTCTATACAACTTTCATCTTTAAGCAGACGGGATAAAGTTTAAATCTGTAGGAACGTTATTCATGTACTATCTCTGCCGGCTCCTTCTGTGTCCAGCGCGGCGCAAACACATGGCCCTTGTCCAATGACACCGCCGCGTCCGCGCTGTGCCGCCGCTGAGCCACACCCTTCTCACAACACACCTCAGGGTCCACCTTCTCTTCAAACTGTCTCATAATCTCTGATAGAGTCTTTCCCTTCGTCTCCGGAAGACAGAGTAAACAGTAAGCGGCGCCAAATAACGCGCAAACACCAAACAAATATAAAGTGCCGTTACTCGTTATGTAATATTCTAATTGAGGGTAAGTTTTTATATTGAAGAATATAAGCACATACGCGCAACAAGACGTAGCTCCTGACATAATACCTCTTATATCTTGAGGGTATAATTCCCCTGACATTATCCAAGGTAATTGCAAGAAGCCTACCATACTAAAAGACACATGCAGAAGGACACAAGCTAACTTTAACAATGGAGGGCCATCGAGGCTGTCGCAAACAGCGGCACCCAGCATCGTCATACCAAGTAAAAGACCAGAAGCGGCCGCTAAAGTCTTTCGTCTGAAACTGTTTATCAAACAAGCTCCAACCGCACCCATAAACATCCTCACACCTCCCACAATGATGGAAGCTGTGAACTCGTTAACACTTGTACCGACTGACTTGAAGAAATCCACCGCGTAGTACAATATCACATAAATCCCCGACATCTCTTGGAATATAAAGAAAACGATCAACAAAGCGAAAGGCTTTAACACATTTTTCCTCTTGAATAGACCGAGCTTCTGTTTTAAAGTCATATTCTCACTGGTCTTTCGGTCTTTCGTGAACTCCATTAGCTCCTGTTGAGCCGTGCTGTTGTTCTGTCGCAGCCAGAATAGAGCGGTGTAGGCTTCCTTCATTTGGCCCTTGGATGCTAACCAGAGAGGGGACTCGGGAACAAAGTACATGAGGAACGGTGTGAGGAGGGAGAAGCCGGCGCAGATGGCTGCCACCTTTCTCCAGTGGATGAAGGCTCCCAGCGAGTAGACGACGAAGATTCCAGTGGACACGAGGCCGGAGCCGAGCGCGCTCAGCACGCCGCGTTTCTCTGGTGTTGTTATTTCCGCTACGTAAATGTAGGAAACCGTTGACATACCTGAAATTAGAGGAAGTTCATTAAATACTCATTCTAAATTCAACTTGACTTGACTTAAACATCAACTTCTAATTTGATATCTTCAAGAAAACATCGACTACAATTTTCACTAGGCACTATTTCCATCTTTTGATGGCTTACAAATTTATTAAGGCAAGGTGGAACTTTTTGGGAATGCCAATGATTAGTAAAATAACATACCAATAGTGAATCCTGTGATGAATCTCCCGACGCAGAGAAAGAGGTATGTTTCGGAGAAGGCGATGACGAGCCAGCCCAGCAGGTTGGGCAGCACGATGGACTGCAGCAGCAGCCGCCGGCCTAGCGCGTCCACCATCATGCCGCCCAGCAGCGCGCCCACCGGGTTCGAGATCACACCCAAACTCGCTGCAATGAACAAGAATCACATTGTAATACATCGTCTAACTAAAAAGATGAAAGTAAAGGACAGATTATTAGAACAGGATAAATAGAGAAATGGACAGATAGAATTTAACATTTGAAGGATTTAACAAAGGTATCAAATTATTTAAGGCAACAATTGCAGAAGATTATAGTTCTGAACATGTAGAAATTAATATAAATTAGAACAGTTATTTTGACTGAAAAAACTACTACTTGAATGAAAAACCTGTTAAAACCAATACAAAGCAGAGTATCTGATTAAGTGACTTGAACACTTATTGTAATATGAACTAAAAAAATCCGTAAAAAATTTGATCAGGAAATCGCTGTAAGAAATCCAAAGGAAGTTCGAATATTTTACTTGTTTACAGATAAATCTGTCCAAAGATAATACAAATACCTAAACTTAAACGTCAGAAGTGAAAAAGTGTTTAGAAAATGCCATTTGATTTCTCGTACTAATAAGTGATGAGTTACGATTTGGTTCATTGTTTTATCCGTTGGTGTTTGTACAAGAGTTTTGTAGGAATCAGTAGTGTGTAAACAAATTATCCTTATTGATATTACGTGACTGTAAATACATTGTGTTATTAATTCTGAGAAAAGGGGTGACTTATCGGTAACTGTACACGCAACTGTGGCGTGAATTTTATTGTTAAATCTAAAGATTTATACGTAACTAGCTTGGTTTCAAATTATATAAAAACAAAATTAAACAGACTACGTATTCTTCCAGACTATCCTCTACATTTATGCCAAATTTCATCTAGAACAAGTCAACAGTGGTAGAGCCCGCTTTAACATCTTAGCACGAATGGGTCGGCACGCCCCGTGTTATACCACGACCACACAGAAGACAGGCGTGAAGTGGAAGCAATTCCGTGTTTCGTCTGATGGGTGTGGTGCCGGAGCCCTAATTTAAGTACCTTTTTCTTTACGCCCTTTTCTTATAAGGAGAGGATGGAAAGGGAAAGTGAATTTGACAGAGGAGGAGATACACAGTTAGGGGACATATCCTCTTTATGTGAATCTCCTTCTCTGTCGGATAAGGGTAGGCAACGCACTTGCAATTGCGGATGTCTTGGGGCAGCGGTCGCTTCGCCATTTTGGCGGATTCAGGTGGCCGCTTGCTCGTTTCCCACCTATTGTTATAAAAAAAAATCTAGATCCGTTCGGCAGTTTAGGCTACAAACTCTAACAAACATCCATCCAAACTTTTGCATTTATATTAGTAAGGTTTTAGTTTTTTATGTTTGTTTATCTCTTTCGTTATATTAAAGGTATATGTAATAAAGTATTTTGGCTCAGCAAATCAATTAACAATGTATGCACTACATGTTGCATGCATCCATTTATAAATAGATATCCTTTTCACTAATTTAGTAGCTGTGCAATTTCGTTACGCAGTTGCATTGTTAATATAATGTAAATACAATAAATAGTATTATCTTTAACTGTGTACATAATGAACTTGCGTATTTTTTTATATTATAAGGTGGCAAACAAGCAAAATACTGAATACACCAAAATGGAAAGCGACCGCTGTCCATAAACATCCGCAATTGCAGGTTGCTACTCTTAATTGACGGAGGAGACGCACATAAAGAGGACCCTTCCTATGCGTCCACCTTTACCTTCCCATCCTTTCCTCTCAAGAAAAGGGTGGAAAGGGAAAGGGACTAATTTATTCATTTGTACATTATTTTGTTCTACAAACATAAAATTCAATTAAATTTATTTAACAAACTGAAGAGAATTTATGATTTTCGACAATGATTTTTACTTATGCCGGTAGAAACTAAAAATGTTTAGAAGTCAATAGACAATAATCCAATTGGCAATAGTATAAATATAATTAATCAATTGAATTATTACATATTAAAGCCGCGAAAAAGTCACGACAGTGACCAATAAATAACAACACGGTATACGATAACATTCGTTTCCAATGACTAGAGAAAGGCACAGTCTGTAAGAGGTTTCTCAGGCGGCAAAGTCAACAATTTATAATGGGTTTTATCAATTGTTTTCCTTTGTTTTATGTTGGTATTAGTAGGTAGGATATATCACTTACCAATCCATGAGCTCTGCTCGTATGTGATATTGGGATGTTCGTGTGTGTACTGCGGTAAAAGCACAGCGGAGAACCCTTGACAGAAGCCCACGGATATGTTGATAGACTGCGCGGCCAGCGCCGCCAACACCTGCACAAAAATACTAGATTAGGAATGTTATAGGTCAATTACCATTCAGGTTAGGATCTAGAATGATAGAGGCTAGAGCACTGCACAATCACATATTTAAAAAGACAATAATGAACGCTTGTGGCAACCCTTTACATCCGGCGCTCTGGGTGGTTGCCCTACCTCCCCTTATCCTAACGGGCGTACTGGAAGGGGTTATAATAAGACCTCACATAACTTAGGACTTAACTTAGGTTAAGCTTAGCCTTCTTTCCCCATCTGTTACAAATTTTCATAAATATTTCTTATTTCGTGTAATTCAGTACATTTTTTGGTTGGCAATATAAGGTTTTTTTTCACTTTACTTATCTTCTGAAAAGAAGATATCTTTGATTGGCTTTTCCTCCGCAACAACAAAAGAATCAAGAAGAATAAATTCACGTCTCATTCCAATTTTCCTTATAGAATTATTACATAATTATTGTTATTCAACTTGTTACGTAAAAACTAGTTTACATGTTAAGTTTTTACGTATATGAGTCATTTATCGGCACATTGCAAGGAAAGTGCGAACGTTTCCATCGTAACTGACAAGCGGGTAATGTATAATCAATTATTACGCCTTGTTTTTGATTACGATCGATTTAATAAAAAAAAATACTATGTATGTATACATGTTAAATGCGAGATAAAGATTGTATTGGGTTTTAAGAAAGAAAAGTATTTGAAACGAGATAGTCGCTGTTTCAATGTGCTTGTAGATATAAGTTTATAAAAATAAATTCATCATCTCCATCCTTATCCTCCAGGGTCGGCGTACCGGGTTTTCGTCCTCCAAATAACTCTATCATCCGTCATCTCAGTCATCACTCCCTTCTTGATCATGTCACCTTTCACGCAATCCATCCATCTCTTTCTAAGTCTACCTCTACCAGTGTACCTCCACATACATAACTAACGTCCTTGTTACATGCGATTCGTCCCTCCTCATAACATGCACATACCACGCTAACCTTTTTCCTTAATTTCTCATCCACTGGAGCTACTCCTAAATTTCCTTTATTATACTCATATAAATAAATTGTACTGAAACAACAATTACATCGTTCCAAATGATTGTTTACAAGGAGTACATTGACACAGGTCGTGTGACGTCACAATGTACGCACGCGCCCTCCATCCCGCCCGCCTACGTAGTCTATAATAAGACGGCTTTGACCGCTTGCTTTCGCGACGAAACAAAAACAAATAGAAATAGTTGTTTCGCGGCCAAACATTTGTTTTCATGTGTTTTAATTTTAAATGTCGGTTTTCTAAACAACTTATCTATACATACTAATATAATAAAGTGTAAACACACACTAATTTGTGGCGTAAAATGTCTGCAATCACAGCAAATTTTTGAATTCTCTCCTTAATAAAAAGCCCTAAACTTACGACACGCTTTAGGCTATATATTTTCACGCTTAATAGCGTGATACCTTAATAGGTAATAAATTATTTGGAAAAGAACTTCACGTGGAAAAGGAATAAACTACAAGCTACCAACATCAAGGAAGCGTTGCCATGGTTTGTCATCATGTCATGTCATTTTGACATTTGCAATTGATAATTTGACAAATGTAAACAATAAAATAGAATTATCGTAATTCCACGCAGATAAAGCCGCACGGGAACATTTAGTAATAGAAAAGATTGCATACTGGAGACGGGGAAGAGGATTTGACAAAGGGTACTATAGACTTTCTGCTAACAGGAATGTCTATGGGCATCGGTAGCTTCGCTATTTTGGCAAATTACGATCTCATTTCTGATCTATGTATATTATATTTATAAATATCAAAGAGTAAATTTAGCTAAATTTCACATATCAATGATCAAACGATGTTTACACGACCCCAACTAAACTTAATGACAGTCAAGTTACTGCAAAGTTCAAGTTCGTGATAATTACATACAACTAACTTACTACGTATACGTACGTATATACGTTGCTTGATAATCTGTATTTCCTACTTTTACTGAATTAATTATTTATCGCATACAGGAAAAGATAAAGCTAAATTGTTCCGTAGTTTACTTCCGACTTTTGATAAAATATAAAGTTACGCCTGATTAAAAAAATATTCACCTACTGTTATGTAATTTATTTCACACTAGCTGTTGCCCGCGCCTTTGTCAGTGTTATTAGAAAACATACGAACTATATAAATAACAAAAAGCTATGTATACCTCGGGACCCGTAACTATACCCGGGATAAAAAGTAGCCTATGTGTTCTTCCAGACTATGCTCTAAACCTGTGCTAAATTTCATGGAGATCCGTTCAGCCGTTTCAGACGCTAACAAACATCCATCCATCCATCGTAACTTTCGCATTTATAATATATGATTAGTAAAGGAAGTGATAACTAAAATGTTTTTAAAATCTATAAAAAACCTAGAACTCTTAGAGCGGGCACCTTTATCTAAACTATCAAACATCTGTTGTGCGATTGTCGATTGTTTCGCAGCCAATTCAACTGTTTAGTTGCACAACTAAAAATCGCGTAGTGTCCTTATAAGCTCGTAGGAATCAAAGCGAGGACAGTTGTGAGCTAGTTTAGTCAAATATGTGCACACGTTTTTAACTAAAAGAACTAAGAATTAAAATTCGAAACAGAATTCTATGTTATGTAAATTTGTATCAGCAAAAACAACTCATCTATCATAAACAGATTCAATCACATAAATTGCTCCAAAAACACTTTAATAATTTTTCGCGAATTTTCCAGTTTAATTCGAACAGAGTTTGCACGGGAAAAAACTGTATGTTTATGGTAATATTAAAATAATAGGGATCAACAAGCGGAACGGACAAACGGTCCGTATCGTTGTAACTGTCGCAGTTATTTTAGATGAGTCTACATTTGAGAGCACGCGACGCAGGACAATCTTAACGTGAAAGGTAGACCCTCCTCCATTGGTAGATTCCTCGGCAAACAAAAATCTTGAAATAACTGTTAGATGTTTATTAGAAATATATAATAGTTCTGTTTTTAATTTCTTGATAAATAAAAAGTAAAACAATGGTATTAATTTCTCATAATCAATTAAAAAGGTCAAGTATCCAATAAATTCTTTGTAAATGTTTGCTTATCAATTAAATTCTATAAGGTTTGTTATTTTAAAGAAGAAAGTAGGGATAAAAAATATATATTTTCACTCTACTTACAGTCAAATTAAAACCTATAGATTCGTAGATGTCGATTAAACTTTTGGTTCTCTGCATCCCAACGTGCGTCTTGCGAAGTTACCCACAACACAGTGGCGGGTTGCGCACGCGCCGACGTTCATATACCTAAGGTTATGGGTTCGTAAAACAAACACACTAAAAGAGACAGCTCAGGAAATATATAAAGGTCATAGCATATGGAACAGGTTTGGACAATTAAACATATTCTATTGTGAATCAACGATACGTTATGTGAATGCAAGATTTTTTTTGTTCTTTAAACTTTGTGATGCGTTGACGCATTTCAGATAAATCGTTCTTGATGTATCTCATTGTAATGTTCGATACATTGTCCATAAACAGACAACCTTGGGTATATTATGTGTTTCTTATATATTGCAATGACTAGCTATTGCTCGCCATTTCGCACGCGTTAATTAAAAAATTGTAGCCCATGTTACTCACAGATAAAATACCTTTCCAACGGTGAAAGAATTTTTAGAATCTGCCCAATAATTTTTGAGTTATTTCGATATATTTAAAAATCGAAGAAATCGGATCTTTCCTCTTTATAATATAAGTATAGATTAAAGTGTGTTTTTGTAAAAAACTAATAAAGTAGTAAATAAATTTAAAAATAAAAGTATTTTACACCACAGGGTCAATTCAATACGTCATTGATTAATAGAAAATTACGTTGAGATTACAAGGTTTTTAATCGCATTTTTTGCAATAGCAATAGCTACAACAATTATCCTCTTGTTAAATTTCAATGTCTTTTTAAATCAACTAGAAATGTCAACACACGTACTTTATTATAAAACTACGCTTTAATTTATAATATTTCCCGCTCTCCTGCCACATCTAGTCGCTATAATTCCGCGACTCACACGAGTGAACGTAAGGACGTGTGTTTTTTCTCCGTCGATCGTGCGGCATTTCTATGTAATATCAAATATATAATATATCTAGATTTCTAGAAAACGATTAGATCTATTATTTACTTTAACCTAATAACGACTCACGCGTTTATATTGTAGATTTATGTTGATTGTCTATTGTCTGTGTGATCGTTCTTAAAATAATGTCCTACATTTTTGCCGCGCGGTTTCTTTAAGTAGTAACTTTCGTCCGCGACTCTGTCCGTGAGAAATTAAAAGAAAAAATCTAAAGCAAGTTCCCTATATGTTCATTTAGAGTATCATCAACATCTATATAAAAAATAATCAGTATCTACCATACCTTTAAAGGCTATTTTATTACTTTGTTTATTAATATTTCTTTCTATAAATACAACTGCTGGTTGAATATTAACTCAGTATATTTGTTTATGATAAAATCTAGAATTTTATTTAAATTATTTTCGACTACAAATTCAGATATATAAATAGGCCAGCCTCTCACTCTTAATACTTATTTCCTATACTTACCTTCCTTGTACAGTCAGCTACAATATACGAGTATGTATACATTGGCGAAACTTTAGTATCTTTTCTAGGATTTCTGTTTCACAATACGTATACATTTATACGTGGACATGTATTTATTTTGGAAGTATACGAATACGTGTATATTATTTAAAACATGGCGTACACAAATTTCTGAATATACATGTTTATGAAGCTGACTGTACTCTCTCGCTAAAATATATAAAGAGAATTCTAGTAATAACCGGTTGTAGCGGAAAATAACATTGCTAGACTAGAAAACGGAAGGAACGAATACCGAGTGACGTGACCTTGTCTACACTTGTGTAATGCACTGTACACGTATCGTAGTAAATGGAGTTTACTAATATTTAAAATGTA